TATGGCTCAAACTTTTCCATCAGTGTTGCATGCATGCTCAGCGCGATACACAAAAACAGGATTTCGGGTCACTTGCATTCCAGCTGCAGCACATTCAGATTCCAACCGATCCAGTTTGCTCCAGAGCTCCTGTCTAGGAGAGAGAAACATACTTAACCTCGATGGGCTGTGCATGATTAACTAAATGATTAAATTTACACAGAAAAAAGCAGAATCCCTAGGGAGTCATGGAAAGTTATTTTCTATCCCTCGACCCAAACAGTCAGAGTTGGCAATTGGGCTGTCCTGTGACTTGGCAGTTGACAAGGTGACGATTAGTCTCTGGTGGCTCGATAACACGTGATGAGTCCTTTCAATCCAATCAAAACCATATACGGTTTGCAAAATGCAAAAAATACGGGAAGTCGTTAAAAACAACATTAATATAAAGTTTCATACGGAGTCGAACTATTATAGATATTTCCCGAGGGCCCCAAAGAACGAGACTGTTACCAAAACGGCACCAGTTGATATTTTTTTTTAGTTTCACACAACTTTGGCAGTGCTCATGAAATCAATATCAGTACATACAAAATGATATATCATGCAATTAAAGTTCACTATAATTCCGCTTATATTTTTTTCAGGTCGGGGGGGGGGGGGAAATTTCAATGGGCCAATCCGATCCTGGTTTCATAAGACTTTTACCATTTGCTTACAGTCACGACTGACCTATCGACCCAACAGGGACTGACCTTGTCAACTGCCAAGTCACAGGCCAGTCTTAAACGGCTTCCTGTAGGCCCTCAACTTTCATCTAAGATTCATCATTTGGAATATTCAAACTGTACTTTAAAATTTCATATTGTATTGTTTCGTTTTCCTCGTGATTAGTTTGTGTCAACCAGTCTTATCACGAAACCCCATTCGTCTCTTTCGGCGACCTTGGGTGTGCGGACATTAAAAAAAAAAATATTTTATATATTCATTCTTCACAAAACTCATAAGGGGGCGAGAGTAAACACATGCTTGAGGCTTTGACCGTCACACAAGAAAAGTGACTTCGTCAGAAGCCGAAAGCCGCTTTGAATAAAATTGAGGCCTTCCAGTCAGGTGCAGATGCATCCACAATACCCTAAAAGCAAAGAGCATACATTTTTTATTTGTGTATGCAATTCACTCATCATTCAGGAAATCATTCTCAACGTCATCATTCACATGTGAGATCACTAATATGATTTCAGAGTTCATCATTTCAGCACTCAGTGCCTTTCCTACCGACTTGAGTCTATACTAAGAAAAGGTGACGTACCCTGCACACTGTTTTGGGGCATTCGGACGGATCATCGACGGCGGCATCCCCAGCTCACACGTAGAGGCCAGCTCCAGCCAGGGCCGGCCCTAGACATGTACCCCCGCATAGGGCGCAAATTCACAGGGGCGCCGAAATGTGCCTGGATGAATGAAGAAATAATGGATGCAACCCTCAGTTTTACTTCAGAAAGTGGAAATGCCTTCCGTTTCGGCATCTTTTTTGAACGCTGGGGATTGATCCATCTCCCTTCTGGGAGGCGCGTTGGGAATCTCTTTGCACAGGGCACCGAAATAGTTAGGGCCGGTCCTGGCTCCAGCTACCGCAGACCATTACTTTACTTTCTTTATCCAGTTGTTGACAATAGGGTTTGTTATGCATGAAATGATGAGTGTAAAGGCTTTTTATGATTTCATGATAGTTGACCAGAAGAGAAATAAATAATATCGATCTGCAGACCATAGAAACACGTCACACTGTAGTGGGACGGAAACCGAACCGATGAGCGACTGCGACGACAATCTGAAGGGATGGCGGGAGTGAGGGGGTGGCCGCACTCACGCGCAACTGCTTTAGGAGACGAGGCGGATGGGGAAGGGTGGTTTGGTGTTCAAATACCTAGGTGTTCACAAGACGAACAGATAACGAGTGAAAGTTGCTTTTAGCTGATTTACAAAATTTTCACGACCGATATGAGACATACCTGCAGTGCAGACAGAGGGGACGAGACAAAGAGATACGGAAGGAAGCGCCTCTCGTTCACGACCGAGGACAGACTGGCTGAGGAGGGGGTAGGGGGGGGGTGTCAAGTGACGTCAAATTCGTCGTCTGCTGCGGCGCCATAAGAGCACGTATCCTTTTTTATATATCTAACATCGAGATTTTCTTGTGCTTTAATTTATGAAACTGCTTAGATTCCAGTGACCACTCACTACTTGCAGAGATCAAATTCTTATATGAGAAAAAAACACAACAAAATTACATTTATTGAGTTCAATGTAACCTGTCCGTTGAAGAATCCCGTGCTTTCCTATGAAATCGAAGACGGGTTCATAGGAAGTTTCCTTGAACAGTCCACGAGCAAGTAAAGCAGCTGGCAGATCGGAAACCCATCCTGATCGATTCAACATATTTCTTAACGTTAAAGGTCGCAACCGGGAATCGAAGACTTAGACGAGGAAAGTTTTGAACGTTATAGTTCAGAAATGTATACACTGGATCTGGCCGACACATTAGGAGAGGAGGCAGGACAGTAAGTACAATATTGTGTATAGACAATATATAAGTATATCGACACTGTTATGTCGGGAAAGATCTGAAATTCCTTTATAGTTGTAAAGAAGAAACAGCGCATAGGAGCAGGAACTTACGACCGAAAGTCATCCAGACTGAGGAAGATCTTTCTTTCCCTCAAAATGGACTTAGGAAGATCCCCGTCTCGTTCCACAGACATCATTGCGAATTGCGTCCTATCAAGGGGCAGAACATCTAGGGTCCACACAGGTCTCACCCTCACAATAGGGCGAAGGGAACCTGACTTCTTCGCAACATACCATGGACGAGAAGATCGAGCTCGAGGCTCTTCAAGATGTACCCTACAAGAAGAACCAACACTTTCTCCTCGACGACCCAAAGGAGAATGGAGGACCCCTGCCCCTCTACGAGGAGGTGAGGCTCATAGGATATCTTTCTCATCTCTTCCAAGCCTCTGTCTAGAGGGGATACTAGGGGGGGTAGAGAGGGGGAGGATGAGTATTCAACACCATGGAGGTTTTGCCTATGACGGTGTCTGGTCCAGGGGAAGGCTACATATTTCATTCTCAAGGCTGAGGTCGTACACACTTGGTTTTTTTTAGCATAATAATTTATTTTCTCCTCCCTCCTCGTGTTCTGAAAAACATCCGGGGTATGTTTTCCTTGTCTCTATATATAGATCTCGAGAGAGATAGAGTCGAGATCTAGTGTGGGGGTCCTATTTATTAAGTGAAACTCTAGATTCACCTGCCGTCTTAATGAGGACTTTCATAAAGGATTATTGTGCCCTTAGGCAGCCAATTTTGGTCCAATAAAGATGTGTGAACATAATCATATGGGAGATTATCTGCATCCATTTCAGGCATGAACTATGAGAAATGCCGAGAAAAGGGGTTGTGGGACGCTGAGCTACCGCGTGCCAGTTACGTACTGACTTCAATTACGGGCTGCAGTGAACGTCAAATTTATTACGCAGGAATATGACATTGGCATATTACTTTTAAATCCAGAAAAAATATAAAGTCAAATATATTTAGTCCCAGTGTCTAAAATTCTGACCATTTATGTGCTATACATATATATTCCTTGGAGCGAAAAATCCCGTTTTCGATAAGTGAGGAAAGGAAAGCAGACTAACACACCAACAAGGAATTCATCGGAGTGGTGCAGCAAATAGGGGTCTATTTAAAATGGAATGTTCTGCGAAGGAAAATGCTCGGGACTAGAGAGGATGGATTATTCACGGATACTTTTCCCAGGAATTCTGATTTCGAAAAAGCATACGACTTCTGCGAAACTTTCCATTCCTTTGGTACTCAATTTATGCTGCACCAAGTTGGAAGCATGACATCTCTTTTATAATAGGGTTGGGCTTGATAAAGAAAAAATAGTCAAGATGACAACGATGTCACAACCAGGTACAAATGAGGGGAGAAAAAACCCTTACAAAAAATCAATATTCAAAGCCTGACTGGACTGGACGTTAAGGGTAGAGGACATCTTATCAAGACTCGGCAAGAAACGAAATTCAACGTCTTTGCAACCCAATCCTAAATTTTAACCTCAATAACTCCGCAACCACGATGCCCGATGCAGGAATACGATTACCGGGAGTCATGGTTGGACTTGACGGTGTTCGACACGGAGCTGCAAGTGTGGATGGTGCTGGGATTCCTCTTGCTTTTCTGCTGTATCGTCTTCTGCTTCACTGGAGCTCAGCCCTGCGTGGCTGTCATCGCATCTTGCTGCGACGTTTCCTGTCTCTTCGTCTGCACCTTTATTGACCGCTTCAGAGGGAGAGATCCTGGTGAACATCAGTTCCCAATTTTCTTTTTCCTTTCTCGATAATGTCCATGACGGTATAACAATTACCTCATATCCTCTCATGGAAGACACATTTAAACGGAGTTGGACTTTCTATGAGCGCCTATTCCAACCTGTACATGTCAGCCCTGTAAAAGTGCATTTCATTACCTCTCCTGCAAGAGCGCAAGCTGCAAGACAGTAATAGGTCTTGAATAGAATGATATGCGACCGTTACCATAAAACCGATCTTACATCACTATTCAGAGTTGGGAGTTTTAGGCACTAGAATACAAGTACAATTGCTTGTCATCGTATGCCCAGATTCAAATTCCAGCTCATTATTTTCCAAAGCATATATAACGTAACATTACTACTTACAACTTATTCTCTGACGCATATCTCGTTTTTTTCCCCGTCATTCTAGCGTACCGGTACTACGCAAGGCGTCAGGCATTGGGCGGAAAGATTCCTGCACCTTACGAAGAATATCGGACACAGGGATACAGCGGAGGGCACGAAGAAGGCTGAAAATGTAAATCCAACAAAGCAAACGATGCATCATATAAAAAAAAATAGCCTTGCCTTGTGTCCTATTATACCAGCACTGAATTAAATCAATTTGCTTGAAGGGAAAAATAAAAACTCCAGGTGTTTCGTTACCCCAGGCTGGATTCCACCTTTATTGAGAAGTCCTCATTGAGGAAGCCATGACAAGGCCAAAGGGAGGGAATTGGGTCACATAAAATCTGTAGATGCTCTTCATGGCTTCAACAACTCTTCCTGTATCACAGACTGGAACAGTCTTCAGAGAAGCAAAGATAGGCTCCAGGCGCTGGGGTCCCTTCATTTCTTTAGTGTTGTTTCTTTCGGAAGGAACATCCTAAAACAGGAAAGAAAAATGAAAAGTGATATTTGCTCAAACACCAGTGACACTATTGTGACTTGCACAAGATAAAATCCCTTCGAGGGTTAAGGTTTTAGTCATGATAGGATAGGATCATTTTCTTGTGACTTGAATCATTACAGCAAAGCATGGTTAGGTAGTGCTTCCTTGAAGTGTATAACTTGCACAGGAAACCCCCGTGGGGGGTTCCTGTGCCTTAATTAGAATGGCATGGTCTGCCTCAGCAGTTCAACTATATTTAAACTGATCCACATTTGTTATACTCTCAGTAATTTTTTGTGCATGGAAAGAAAGTTTATTTACATGATGCAAGAAGTCCTCCAAAGATTATTGGTTGTTGATTGCACTTGTCTCTCTGAACTCAATCTTTGTCAGAGTTAAGAAAGAAGTGAGAGCAACAGTTCTTCTGAGTTCAATGCTCTTGGCTGTCAAAGGCAGTTTCCTGGTCATGTGGAGGCAAGATAGCACAAAAAGCAAATGACAGCATCTGAATTAAGCAGGAAAGGAAAAAAAAAACTTGGTTCCACGAGTGATACAAAAGGTACATAGGTAGATACATAGGTATAAATATGCCCGTTTTGAAATTCAGAATGAGAATTAGGGAACTCTTCAAAAACAATGAATAATGAAAATGAGTCTCTCAGTTCAATAAAGTTGAACAAAGAACAATAGCATACTAGGGTATGATGTGTTCAAGAGAGGGACGATGAAACTGGCCAATGTGGGAGGACATCCCTCCTGGAACTAAATGGATGCCAAATAAGATAGCACTTACTCATTGATACAGTTTAAGTGTAACACAGTGAAGGTAGAAGCACCCTCAAAAATGCTCAAGGAAGCCGTTAGCTAGTATACCAAAAAGACAGACATATATCTATGCAAAAAATATATGGTGCCTTATTCTCTTCAAAAATGGAGTAAAAAAAAAAAATTACAAACAGACAGAAAAGTCTTAAACTCCTCACTAAATGTTATTGAGTTTCAAGAACAAGTCAGCTCTCACAGCTTTGGAAATTTATCTCTCACAAGTACAAAGTTTTAGGTGCAAATGATGTTCACAAGTTTGAATAACTGCTCGCATAACTAGAAACAAACCTTACCCTATGTACTGTAACATGCCTTCACTTATTCCAATTCACACACACAACAGTAGGGTTACAAAAAATCCAAAGCTTAGCTGTGCAGGGTGTTCCAATGAATCGTATTAATTTTATTTTTGAATAACTTTTTAAATCATGCATGATTTTAATCGTTTAAATTCTCTTGAAACACTCTACAGAAGTTATAAACTGACACCTCCTTGAATTCAAATGAATAAATAAGAAAGGAATTACAATGGTTTCTGTGAGATACCCTTTTCATAGAAAAATATGGTATGTTCTTCAACAAATAATATTTGAATGATAAAATCATGGTAAGGAAGAAAAGCGATTAGCACCATATCTTTCCTGGATTGGCAAGGCCTTGAATGGCCCTTGAAGGCCAAGGCCAGATTCACCAGCGGATTCAGAAAAGGCCCATGAAACACCAAAAAGCCAAACTTATGAAGAATGAAGTTTTGGCAGGTCAAATCTCATATATTTGTGCCACTGTGCAGGTGCACACTCTAAGAAGACTTTGCCAATTGATGATCATTGATTGACATGGGCATCTCTCATCACAAAATTCTACCTGGAATCTCTGCTGTTGGCTCTTTCCAAAATGTATTCCATACCTCTTAACTCAGAGAGACGGTACATGTGTGACGTGCAATCAGGCAGTAGAAAAATTAGTGCAGTGGCACAAAAAAGTGGTGTCTGCAAGAATCACCATAAGTTCATTTATTCCCAACTATATTTGTGCTCATATAGGTGCAAAAAAATTTCTATGGAAATGCTCTACAAAAATAAACATGATCGAAATTGGTGCAGAATAAAAAGTTATTAAAAAATCAAATAGTTGGGACACCCTGTACTTCCCATTAGAGGGAAACATTTTGCAGCTAAACTGACAAGCTATGGTCTTCTGAAAAAGGAAGAAACAAGGGATGCCAAATGAAGAGATAAGCAATTCATTGGTGTTAAAGGGCAATGACAATTGAACTGGTAACATTCAAATTTACGAATTTCCCACTTCCAATTCACATGGAAAGAATGGAAGGACAGTTAGCACTTCCATTTATCTAGAGGAGTGGGCCTCATAAGGGGACATCAAACCACAGATTGCAGTGGCTATCTCTCATCCTTGGAATTCCACCAATTATCGAGGCAAAAATAATCAGAGGGACATGCAATCTCGGCAGTACAAAAAGGAACATATCAATTGTTCTAAGGCTAATTATAAAACACTCATACAGGCTATATTAGCCTGTATTATGGTATTAGTATGATATGATACTAGTTATGATAAAGTCTGCATAAAAGAAAATCAATCGCAAGATTTCATGAACTCTTTGTCAGCATTTATGATCACTAAAAATACCCAAGCCTGAGCTAAGGATTCATGAGAAAGCACTAAAAACAAATGTCACCACTCTTTCAAGATACAATGATTTTGGTGACACTGAAAAAACTTGATCATGTGAGAGGAAGGGGAGAAAGAAGGTCAATGTGTTGCATACCTTCTGTGAGTCGAGCTCGTCCTCCAGTTGGCTGGCACAGGACTGTCGAACAACCAACACACAGGACAACTGTCTGTGCATGGCTAAACACGGTTGTGATCTTGTAGCACCCTGTACGAGAAAGGAAATCACCTTTTCAAGATTTTGTTCACCTAAATGGGCATCCCATCCCAGATAAATGGCAAAAAGTAGTGGCACTAAAAGGAAGACTAACAATTTTGGTCAACAGCTCAAATAAAAAAACAACCTTGTTCTAGTTTTTTTATGTAAATAAATATTATAATAATAGTAAATACTTAATATATAAACATGAGGATTAAAAAACCCTCATTCAGTCTGACATGAAATATAAGAATCCCAGCTGGACCAACATCCTACCCTATGCTTTCATCCAGTGCATTTCCCTAAAAGTATTCTGAGCCTAAGACAGTACGTCATACCTTCATAAACCAGCTAATTCTTTGGATCAGCTACATTCTTTGGCTAGTTAGAAAAAATATGTAAAACATGAACTGAGAGAAGGGTGAGCCTGTTAGAGCATGAACTGAGAGAAGGGTGAGCCTGTTAGAGCATAGGTCACCTTGTTTAGAATATATTTCACACCTGCAAGCATTTTCAAGAGTCCAGAGATCCTTAACACATCGGTGACGGGCTATGGGCACTACGAGATTTCTCGGGGCCATCACCAATGTGTTAACAGAGCCTAGTGTACTTGGATCAAACAAATTTTCAAGACAGCCATGGATATAAGCATAACCAGGATTATCCCACCCCATGCCTAATTTTCAAGTGACCACACCTAATGGCCCTTTTTTTTTTTATATAACAACAGACCATTCCTAACTCCACTGAAGCCAATGATAGAAGATGGACAAACAAAAGAAAGGGCATGGAGGAGGAAGATCATCCAATATCAATGTCCAAGTTACAATTAGGCCATTAGCTCAAACTCCCAAAGAAGGCCAAGCTGAAAGGATGGGGAGCAAAACACGATGCAAGAATTTGGAAACTGACACCCCCAAGTTATCTCTGCATTTGAAGTAAATTGTAGCGCTACATATGGATCAAACAACCAACCTGGGCACTTCACATCCATGAAGTATGAATTGGGATGTTGAACAAGACGCTTCTTCTTGTGCTTCCTCCTCTCTTCATCAGCAGGCGGATGCAGCAAATCTTTTGCAAGCTGCAACAAAATTAATTAAATCCATGATTATAACCAACTACACAGCAGCAAGCATACGCTAGCCCAAGAACAAGGCAAGGTTCAAGCAATTATAGGCTGCACCAATTCATGGTTGGTTAAAGTTAATTACAGCATTAAACTCCATTTATTACAAACCCACTTATGATCTTATCCTTCCCTTAATTTACTTGTCACAAGTACTGATATGGGTGATAAGCCCATCTAAATAAAAGCATCAAATCACATGCAATAGAGTAAGGTTGGCTTGCCATGCAGATACTAAAGATGTGACAAATTGATACAATAACAATGTAGGTAGCCCTGCCTTGAGAATACAAAAACTTGCACTCAATGAGTGAGTTTTGTCCCTTGTCATTATAAACCTTAGCTTAGCTTATCTCAAGATAACAGGGACTTGATGGTCCAGAGTTCGTCTTATCCCACTAGCAAGAAATGTACTGTAGCTGGAATTAAATGAACTGATACTGAAACTATGCTTTAACTGAATGAGACAACAGAGGTTTGCAAATGCTATGTTATGACTAACTGTTTGAAAGGTTCAACAGGAATATTTTAGAAGGTATATTAATTAATATTGATATTGGTAAATTGAATAAATACAATCCCTCACTCAAGGAAATGAACATTTGAAAAAGATTGAGTATGTCTCACTTGGACAAGAAGTTTTCTGGAATTATGGCTTATCTTTAGGTTTAAGCAGTGATAAGAAGAGACTGAACTTGACTGAACTGAACTGTGACTGCTGCATTATAAATTTTACAAATTGAAAAAAAAAGAAAATACTGGTGGTCTTTTGTGCTTTTCCCTAAAATTTGGCATTTTTTCACCCAACTTCGAAACTCATGCATGGGGAACATCCCATTCATCGTTGTCCAATTCAAGTGAAAAATCACCTAACACATGCAAAAACTGCAATGTGAGGCCTATGAATAGGGGTGTGGGCAAATGGGAAAGCTGCCATGGGATTGATCGAGCATAACGGTGTGGAACATAACCTAAACTCTCCCTTCAACCTCTTCCCCGTCCCGTCTTTGCTAGACATAACGGTGAATCATATGTTCCTTATTTTTCACTTAAGCGCTTATGTTGACTCTTTCCATCGTTCAGCATCCCATAACTTTCATTTTTCTGCGATGGGGCTAAGGAAGAGGGAGAAGCTGCAACCTTTCATGCAATCATAACCTCAAAACACGTGACAGAACGTTAGTCTAGGCCTATACTTGACCCGACTGGACTAAACAGGATGAGAGCCACAAAAACATTTTCATATGACCACGACATGCAACGCCTCGCATCACCAAGAAGAGGTAGAGACCCAAAAAGAGTCTATTCTAAGCCAAAGAAAGAAGAAAATTTTTGAAAAAAAGGACGTACAGGCATGTTGACGACGTTTCCTAGTCGAAGTCGGACATTAAAAGGGACGAAACCTGACGTCACAACATGGACGACAGGCCTAGCCGGTACACGGATGTTAGGACTAAGATTTCGACCTAATTGCCACTAGTTTACGGTATTAAGATTCTCCTAGTTTTCCAAATAAATTGTTAAATGATAGTAGTCTTCCTTAAGGATTTTATCAGGCAGCAAATTCAAGAGATTTTTTCTTCACCGTCAACATCCAGACGCCGCCAGCTCCGAATCTGCGGAGCTGCGGGACACCCGCGGATCCATCGTAGATGAGGACACCTCTACAAGCCGGTCAGTGGCGGAGCCGGCATTGACGTCTCGAGTACTTACATGGCGCAATTTCGAGCAATTCTTTCAGGCTTCCAAATAAATCGATGCCCGCCTTATTTTTATATTGGGTCCCCTTTTCAAAAGCAGGACCAACTGCTTCCTTTGTGAGGAAAAATTAATCATTTAAAATTGCCATTCAAAAAAGTCCTGTTGAATGCTGTAGGGCTTGAACCAGGTAAGGCCCTGTCGAGATTTTTTTTTATTACGTTTTTGCGCGTTCTCATTCCTTCGCTCGCATTCTCGAGCCTGACGGAGAAAATAGCTAGATCAGTTCGCCATTTGTTCGTTTATTTTTTGTCGCTTTCTCGAATTTGAACCAGGCCTATTGCAGTTTTAATTGCTCCTCATTCTCCGTCGCATCTGGGGCACTGAGCTAAAAAGAGAACTGGAGATGGCGCACAATACGATGGCTTTGGGGCAATTGGAAGCTATCTTAGTTGGGTCCGTGGCGGCTCTTCTCCATTCACTACAATGGGATTTTCATAATTTCCCATCTCCGTTTTCTTGCTGTCGTGATCATGGTGGCAGGCAGTCATGGTACCGGAGGCCTAATAATTCTTGGGGGAGTATCATAGGGCTGATAACGTCATGTCGGAATGCTCCAATGTTCCCGCGGTACCTGCTCCCTTCCTCGGCCAATGCGCACCGCAGGCCCGCTTTAGCTTGGACCCAACCAATATGGCTTCAAAATGCACCCCTTTTCCCTATGCTACTCCTATGGCCGCACCATCTCCAGTTCTTTTTCTTAGCTCAGTGATCTGGGGAGTCGGTCCGTTTGTAGTCCTCACGAGTGATTCTTTTCTTGTGCGTTTGCAAGGGCCATATTCTCTTGCATTCCCGCGTCGTGAATGTCCTTGTGCTTTTGGGGTTCCAGTCTACGAGTTCAGAGTCTATTAGTGATGTGGTCGGTTTTCGCGATGCAGTGAAGCACATTCACTGCAATACCAGCCACGCCTTAGTTTTGGAAGTCGGATTCATCGGGTCGAATCTCCACGGACTACGATCTAATCTAATAGAATTGATTTCTGGGTATCGAACATAATTCCTTTAATTCTCTACACTACGCTGGTTTCCAAAATCTATGGAGCAAATAGATTTTCCCAAGTTCCGCAGCACCCCGACATGAAAATGGTCGAAACATACAGATCGCCCGCTGATATGCAAATCACATGTCTTTAAAAGACGGCGCTCTGAGAGGGGGTAGTGCAGCTCACGTTTGGATGGCAAGCAGTTAATTTCAAGATGACCGAATCCTGAAAAATGACCAAAAGGAACCATCTAACAGAGCCATTGAGATGGCACGCCATTGCGCCTTCCGGATCGCAATCGTTTGCGGGGATCGTCCGGCAGACATCCGACAACACATTTACGGCTAGTTCAACATTCACATGATGTTCATCATATCGCGGATTTTCAATGTGTTCTTTACGTTTTGGAAATCAGTGGATTTCATGGCACCTATAAACACGAATGGCTCGTTGGCGGGTGAAAACTCAGCAGGCCATGGCTTGTGCTGCCATCTATCCGAACAATGTCAGACGAGTTGGTGCGAAAATGTTCACTAGGTGTCGCGCCGGTCCAACCACTTGCCTTTTTTCTGAGACTTTTGCGTCTCATTTGTGTGCAGTGGCGTAGCGAGAAGGTTGACTTCAGCCCCCCAAATTTGGTTCAAGCCCCTCCAACTTCAATCTAAATGCATCCGCCACCCCCCCCCTCCCCCCCGGACAAGGAGAAGTAAGCCTCCCTCCCCCCTTCCTGGCTACGCCACTGTGCGTCGATTCAGATGTTAGTGCGTCGGACACGGACACGATAGCTTGCAGCTGTAACATCTGCAAAATCGAAAGAAATCTGCCTTAAGTCACTAATTTAAGGCTTTTGTAATTTTCTCCTTTAATTATTTGCTTTGCTTTTCCTGAAGGAAAACAATGTGATTTAACGGCTTTATAATACAGTGCAAGATGGAAGAATATTTCTGGTCAGTTCCTATGGAACTGGTAATTTCAACTCGAATATTATGAGTACATCTGAACTGGAGGTAGGGTCTCTCATCTGACCTATACGAGAGAGAATTAATAAATTTAGTGAAATCTCTCACTATGAATGTGTTTCTGCCGATATTGGAGACCTCTGCTCAGATTTTCCCCTTTCGCATTAAAGGAATTGCCTCACATTGCCAATCAAAGGAATTGCCTCACATTGCCAATCAAAGGAATTGCCTCACATTGCCACAAAATGCTCTCGATTCATGATTGCCCGAACAAATGACACCTGTACCAAGAATTAAGATGCGAATGTGTTTTGTTTCTCTTTTTTTGTGATGATGAAAATAATCCACGAAACTGACTAAACTCACTATCGATCAACATCGAATCACCGCGGTATTTTTGAGTCTCTTCCCCGAGCCCAAAACCTCAGCTGGAACGAAATGCCATCCCCCGCCCCTCTCACTGTCTCCGGACGTTTTTGACTCAAATATTGAAAGACGCGTTGTTCGATGCGGTCCGTTTCCGTTAAAAATGTCGATCATAGGGAAAATGTAATGCCCGTGCCCGAAAAAATATCCTGCAGTTACAGAACATCCTTGCAAATTTGCAAGCTCACATTCAACAAATACATCAAAGATTCTTTTGGAAGCGACACTCTGCATTTGGGTCAATTTATAATACCAGCTGAAGTACCCCAGCGCTGCCCGGGGAAATTCAATATTCAATTTTATGCATGAAAATTAGGGAACGTTAGCCTTATGATTTCCTATAAGTTACCAATCTTGGGTGTCGCACAATACACTGGGGCCCCTTTCCTTTTTTTTAACTTTTTTTTTAACGCTTTGAATAATTTCTAAATAATTTTGGAGTTGAAAAACTTATTGGCAAAATGTTTTAATCATTTTGAAACGGTTTTTGAAAAAAACTTGATAAAAAGAATCTTACTTACTATCTACTGTAGTGATCCAGCAATGGATCACTAGAGGATCACCACGACTGAAATAAGTGTCCAGATATCGTTTCAGTCAAGAACTAAAAAAAAATGCGACAGGGATTATGGAGTAAATGAATGACATGGGGCAGGCAAGTCGGTGGCAAAACCTGAGAGAGTCTAAGAAAACCTGATTGGGTTACCTAAGTTAAGTAGAACTTCCCAGGTGGTTAATTAGAATCCAAAGCATTTGGATCGAGATTGAGATCGGTATGTGAATCTTCAATTTTTACTTTAACGGATATAGAGGTTTCACCCTGAATGTGTTTCGTGAGACGTTGGTACTTAATTTCGTGACCACGTTGTGTACCTCTTTTATATTATAGCAACTCGTGTGGTACCAAAGTCACCAGTGGATTTTACCATTGTATTTCACAGCATAAAAATGTAATATGATAGTACGCTATCGCTACTATACAAAGAAAAAAATTTCTTAAAGGCAAAATGGAGGTAAATACCCTCAAAACAAGAGCAATTATCTTCGAGGAGTACATTGATCATAGAAGGGGATGGTTGAGGAAGAGCCTTCAGACTCGGAGTGTCGACGGCAGTCGTGCTTTTTTGACATACCGATCTCAACTTTGAACCATCAATAGTCATTCAATTATCAGTAGTTTATTGACAACGATCACAGTCCCCATTCATTTGCACATAAATAATAATAGCATCGCATCAAAGGTCCCGACAGTAGCAGAACAGCTTCAACCAGGTATCATGCACACAATAACTTTGAGATCCATACAGATTTATTCGACTGATGTCCAGCACCTCGTAGGCGTTTTTCTTCGACGGCTGCTGTTTCACGGTGGCTTCAAATTGGCCGGGGCCAGGCAACGTCTTGAATACGACCGTGAATTCCTTCAAGGGCTCTTCAGGCGAAGAATCTTCCTCTATGTCGTTTACGTGCATGGAAGCCCGGTCCACAGATGCCAGCTTCAACTTGGCACATTGTGGAAACTCCTCGACGATCGAATTGACATGACGGATGAGGGCCCTGCCGACATCCTGCACGAAGTCCGTAGTTAGTACCACGGGGACGGAAGACCAACAGGAACACCACTGGCGAGGTATCCCGGCATCTTCGCACGTCCTGGACAACGGTATCGGCAGAAACAGATTCTTCCCATTGGGAGTCTTGCTGTAAGGCTGACGGAGTCCGAGTGGAAAATTCGCGAGGGCGTGCATGGTGGCATGGAGGTCGAACGGGGTCACCAGGACCCGAGTGTTTCCTTGCAACGCATTCCACTCCTCTTTGTACCGATGTCGGAACCATGGTGGAAAATAAACAGATGCGAATGGTAGCCGGTTCTCCATTTTCCCGACATCCGTGTCGCGCAACTTACCCCATCGGATCCCGTGGTCGCTCAAAATAATCAATGCAGTGTTGTTGAATAGGTTCTTTTTGTTACCATCGTTCAAGAAGTCATACATGGGGTCGTCTAGCACAGCAGATGCTTCAACGAAATCGTGAGTTACGCTGTTTGTCCAGAGAAAGGTGAAATAAAAATTGTTCACTAGTGCGTCTGCAATATTGAAGGCATGATCCAGGAGAACTTGAGCCTGAAGACGAGGTCCAAAACATTCTTTTACATTGGTGTTTACTAACTTCTTCCCAGATACTTGCTCTGCCTCGTAGAAATATGGAGTGCCGTAGATGACGGTCGGAGGATTGCGAAAACCTTTTTTTTCGAAGTTGAAAGTCCCGATTTCGATGGAATCTTCGAGAT